AAGCCATATCAGGGCAAAACAAACTTTATAAGAAATACACATCAGGTATTTACATATACAGACAGTTTGCCTGCTAGAAAAAAGGGAATTTCTGGACACATTTCACTGGTAAGCACAAATGGAGAGATAAAAAAGTACAGAACACATGGCAATGAGACAGCTTTTGTGTCTTGATATCAGAGTGTGTAGGAAATGGATGCTATCTAAACGATATATCTTCTGAAACTAAATCATTCTCAAATTTTGGAAACACGTAAAAGTCTTGATCCTGATACTCGAAAGTTCCTAAACGACTGAGGAACGAAATTCGGATGATGTAGAGGAATTTTTGTGGGAATTTTCTTTTCGCTGTATTTGAACCAGATTTACACTTTTCTATGTCATCTTTCTTTCGTTTTGTTCTTTTTTGCGTACCTGTAGGTAATTTATCTAATAACCTACCCATTTATCCGGAGTGCAATTTCTAAAGCACAATTCCTTGAATAAACAGACTTCCTGAGGAAAGTAAAACGGACTTTCATGACGTCATGGTTACGTCAGGAAGAAAGCTTTTACCAGTCGCTAATTTTCCTACTTAACATGCTCTTTTTCTGAACAAAGCCTCACTGTTTCTGTGTTGACTGGAATTACTAAAGGACTTCTCAGTTTGGGAATCAATCATTCGTAACGATGAACAGACATGACCACGTGTGAATGTTATTGTCATATTAATTAGTCATGAACCAGTGTCTCCCTTTGAACTCTTTGTCATCGTCCGCTTTAGAGGTTTTGTGGTAAATGACCGTTCGCATTTGGTCAAGAGGGAACGTGCAGCTTATGAGGAGTAGGAGGGAAATTCATGAATGGAGGATCGTATTCTACAACAACCGGTTGTATGCCTTGAGGTTTTCCTGAAATCTTTATTCTTGCTTTCTTATTTTCATTATAATCACAAATAGTGGTTGTAACAGTAGTGACAATACACGCTATTATTATCACGTATCCAATAATATTATATTGTTATCGCTATATATATTTAATGCTAAATCAAATATAGAAAGGTGATTGTACAGAATGCAGAATTTGTTTAGTGCTCCTTTTTTCAAATGTTATCATTATGTTACACATACGATTTTTCTCACCAAGGAACCACCATGCCATAGATTCGTTCCCCATTAGTGTATAGAATAACAACAATGAATGGCAGTAAGCCGAATATTTTTGGTAAGTGTGGGGCGGTCTGAGATTGGAATCAAATGCTGATCAACTAATCAAGAACAAACCAGTTATGTACAATGAAACGAATCGGTTTATCTGAATGGAAAAATATATCGGTAAAATATTCGAAAATCATTTTTTTTCTTCTAAGTTAGCTAATCAGATGTAAAAACATATAGACTTAGGTACATAATCGAAAGAGTTCTAGAATAATAAACTGAATTTGATGAGAAAAAATGTAGCAAACTTAAATACAAGACCATGTAGCATTAATCACGATTTAATTTTGGTCCACATTCATACCGTACATATACCAATTCATGTCGTAGCCCCTTCTTGACAGCTATATAAGAAGTCTTGAGAGATGAATTATTAAAAGAAGAAAGAAAGAAAGAAAAAAAATGGGCATGAGGTAATAGGGCTTTAACTAACAACAAACCACTCATAGATAACTAAGTAAATAAGGCAGGGAATAGACAGAGAGGACATGAATGAAACAGGTTTTTACTCCGCGACATCCGCTTCGCTTCCCCACAACACCTTCCGAGAACCTTTCCTTCTCGAGTCACATATAAGACCGACACACTCGGTTCCCGCATCAGTCTGCCTCCATACTCCCTCTCGCACTAAGCTCGCCCATCATATCGACGCAGCAACATGGCCGCCAACGCCGTCGCCCCCTTCGTCTACCAGCTGCAGCAGGGTCTTCGCAACGTCGACCTGAGGAGCTTGGTCAATTCGTTCGACCTGAAGGGACTGGTCAACAAGCTGGACATCCAGACGGTGGGTCTGGTGGCGGTGGTGGCTGTGGCCGCCGTGTTCCTGTTGGACCTGTTCACCAAGAGCTACGCCCCCTTCGGCAGGAGTCTGGTGTCCTCCGCCGCCCACGCCTGGGATAGAGCCGACCAGTGGGGACTCAGCGGAGGTGTCCGTGGGAGGTGAGTACGTTCGTTTGTATCTATCATGTTTATAGAATGATGAATGATCACTTTTCGTAAATTTGTTGGCATTACCAACTACATATCTAACTTGATAGTAAAGCGATGTTTCTTTGGACTTCTTTGGGCTTTAATGTCTCAATCTTCCGACACAGCCGATCTCTGGAGCCCGTGACGAAGGTGCTGGACGCCCTGGCGGAGGCGGTGAAGAAGTGGGAGGCGCAGGAGGAGGGCGTCGTCAGGCATCGCGCTTCCGATCTCCACAGAAAATGATTTTTTTTCCTTTTTCATATGGTTGTCGTGATCCGTTGAGAACGTTTGAATGAGTACAAATTTTGCTTGCAGGCAAGCACCATGTATTTATTTAATAAATATTATAACAGGTAGTGTTTTGTCATAATTCTTAATGTTTTATAAGCATAATTCACCTGAAAAAAATCTACAAATCAAAACTACATTGTACACAGGAAAACAATTAAATGTATGTTTTTCCCATTAAAATTCCTCTTCGTATTTTTTCTTCTGATAGTGATGATAACAATTATGATGGTGATAATAATGATAGTCATAATGATAGTATTAATTGCATTAATAATAATAGTGGTGATGATAATGATAATGATAATAGTGATAGTAATGATAGCAATGATAATGATCAAGACGCTATCAATAATATTGTTACTTTTTATTATTATCATTATAATTTTTGCTATCATTAGTAGTATCATGATTATTACAATGATTATTATGCTTATCATTATCATTATCATCATTATAATTTTTATCCTCATTACCATTATATTTTTTAATATCATTATCATTTTATTATCATTATCATTTTTATCATTATCATTTTTTCATTATCGTTATCATTTATTATCATTACATCTCCATTATTACTACTATCGTTATCATTATCATTATTACCGTCATCATTAGCATTGTTTTGTTGTTGTTATTGTCATTATTATTATTATTATTATTATTATAATAACTAATGTTATTACTATCATAGCTATTATTAACATCATCAGTACTAGTAGTAGTATCATCATCA